CAGATTGAAACGTTAATTTCAGTCAATTGAGGACACGCCGAAGCAGATCCAGCCACATTTGTTCAGATTAAATTGGAGATTCCATAGGGACGACCAAGCAGTCATTTTATCTAATTCCTTCTACACTACATTCTCGAAGTACCCTAAGTCATCACATTGGAATGTATAGGCTACTTTTAGGTCATCTGCAAGAGATGAATGGTTTCCAGTGCGAGAAGCAAGCGCATATGTCATTGATGTATAGTGTAAATAGGAGGGTCCAATGACAACTACCTGTACCACACCAGAAGTGATAGGGCTAGGTTGGAGGTTCAGACCCGAAATTTAACTATTTGGACCTATTGTTAAGGAATGATTTAAGCCATCCTAATAATGAGGCTGGTCAAACCATTAAATCGTTGATAGTTAGTCCAAACAAACAAATGGCCGGGAGTCGTTTTCAGAAATACAGACGCATTCACTTTCTGTGACCTCCCATACCCACTCAGCCCTCGTGTATTTCCTTGTTACTATTTTCGCCCTCGTATTTCTGCCCGTTGTAGTTCTGTTAAACTTATTTTTCTCCGTTTTCTGTAACTTAGCGTGCTCTATGGAAAATTGCAGCTTCAACAGGCGTACTTCTGTGAGGTATACTATGTTGAAACTGACTCAGTCAAAACGATACTTAGTCTAGATACAAAAAGGAAAGGGAGGTATCAGGAGTTAGTTATTGTGCCTTTACGTCTTTGAATATTCTTGAAACAAAAACAGGACATAGCAACTGTTGCAAAATCTTGCTTTCATGACATCAAAAATGTTAATCCTTAGGTACGTGAGGCTTTTAAATATTTCAGCTGATTTTCACTCCAAAAGCACATAGAACGAAGTAGTAGGAAAACAACAAAAAGTGAGGAACATATGAAAGTAAAAGTAGTGACAAAGGAAAGTGATGTACTCATCGGATATCGTTACATACCGGTCAGCCAACTCTAAAAACTGTCAATGTCCAGCTCTTGCTACGCAGGACCTCACGCTGTCCCTGGAAGACTTTCAGAAACAATATGTAATAACCAACGCGAAAACCAAACCATTGGCTGGCGACTACAGAATCATTTAATATTACGCCTAGACATAACCAACCACAGTGATATTACACAACGCCTAAGAATAAATGTTATTACAATAAACCACGAAATTACTTCAGATAGATTTTAATCTTCCTCTAAACAGCGAATGATGAGACGATGACTGTTGGATTGATGACTCCCATGAAAAATATGGAGGAGTTCGTTAGAGCAAACAACCATGAATCTATCGTTCAATCTTCAGATACATTGAAACACTATCCTTACCAGTTCCATAATATCATCGAACTTTGCCTCGATACCTTCATCCTCTATGCGAGAGCTTATCTTCACCGACCTCCTTTGCAGTCGAGTAGGTAGGCGTCTCGCTTTTACCTCGAGAACGGAACTTGAGTTCAGATCACCCATACAATTCATCGAAATCAACGTATTCTCGTAGGTCAACAGATTATCCAAAAACTCAGAGAGTGCCTTGGATTCATCTTGTAATTGACCACCATTACCCTTAACAGCCTCGAATAATTTCCGACAATCATGGAAGGTCTTCCAAATCTCTGACGTAGTATGCTCATAGCCTCGTGGTACCCCTCTTTTGACTTCATAAACTCACAGCATTGTATAGCTCTTGAAGCAACTCCAGTGCATTACCTCATCAAGTGAAATAACTTCATTTCATTATTTAATAAGAAAACCACTCAACATGATCTCAAACTCCTTTAAAAACCGTAAATAGTCAGCCGGGTTTCCGTCGAAACACCGACGGCGAAACAGTAACATCAACCGTGTCATGCTTAACATCAGACACATCGTTACAAGTAACAGACAAGTCACCATGACTTACTTTCCTGTTCGCTTCCAGGACGCTCTGTCCCTTTTTTGACCCAGGCATCATTGATTATAGGCAAAATTCCAGAAAGTTCCAGATAACTCTTGTTCAAATGAGGCTTGGCCCGCACCAGGTAAGTCGTACGGTGTCAATTGAAGTGTAATAAAGTTTCACCAACTGTCAGAAGCTGTGAATCACGTCTCAAAATTCGTAAATACGCAGCTCTTGCTACGACGGGCCTCTGGCTCTCCCTAGAGGCATTTCAGAAACGTTTAGTACTAACGGACGCAAAAGCCAAAACACCGATTGGCGACTCGAGAATTCTTTATTCCAACACCAACTTATTAGCAGCATAATAACTAAGGTGTATGAAAAATTTTATTTTTTATTTTTATTTATTTTTATTTTTTTATTTTTGATTACAGCTTGACCCCCACACCGTACTTTTGATAGAAGTATGGAGTTTTCAGCGTGGATATCGGTAGCCCTAATTTCGCAGGCCGACCATAGATATCAAGTGTGCGCCGGCGAGGGTTCGAACCCCGGACCATGTGCATGGTCAGCGAGAGTCCTAACTACTGTGCCACCGACGCACATTACAATCATAAATCACAATACGACTTCTGACGGTATTTGACCTTCTTTCTGAACAGCAACCGGTGAGACGGTGACTGGTGTATTGATGCCTCCGCGAAAATATAGGGAAGTTGGTTTTGAGCAAACAACCACGAATTGATCGTTTAATCTTCAACTACATTGACAAGTGTTATACATGTAAGCTACATGTTTTTACTTGACACAAAACGGATCTTCACTCACTTCTAAAAATAATCTTTATTTCATTTGGAATAAGCTAGTTGGCACATCAATATTGGGAGAATACATTAAAAGTAAGTAAACACTTTTTTTATTTACAGCTTGATTCCACACTGTATTTTTGGTACAAGTATGGAATTTTCAGCATGGATATCGGTAGCCCAAATTTCACAGGCCCGCCATAGATATCAGGTGTGCACCGGCGTGGGCCTGAACCCCGGACCATGTGCATGTTCGGCGAGAGTCCTAACCACTGTGCCACCGACGCACAGTGGTGGTGATATATATTTATTTATTTGATATGATTGTATTATTATTTGTTGTCTATCTAAGTTATTGATGAATTCGTTGCGATAATAATAGTATTATTTTTTTTATAGTCACTATGAACATGAACGTTATTGTTATTATTGCTGTCAAGACCTATTATTTGTCATAAAGCCGTTTTCATTTTGGCTAAAATCTTTGTACAAGCTTTGGAAACTACTGCATAACTTGTCGTTAAATTATTTTATGATTTCATGATGCTTCGATGGACCTTCTAGATATCAACCATCGATTAATTTCGAAGTCCCTCAAGTTTAGTGAGAACTATTTGGCTACTTACACATATTCCTTGTAAAGTGATTACTTGTAAATCCTTATCAAGAAAAAATTTTTATTCAGATCATAAATATAATACCCAAGTTAATAATGCTTTTCTTAAACCTTTTCAGACTTATGGCAAAGCATATATGTGCCGTTTACACAGATGAAACTTACTGACGGTAACAGAGGACTACTCATCTGAATTATCTGTACATTTGAAATCTGATTTTTGTTTAATAAACAATTTTTCAATGAACCTGTGTTCCTTCTGTTGTAATGCGATTGTGTTCCAGTAACGTAAGTAACAAGTGCTAAGTTAGGAGTTGAGGGTAAACTGTTAGGAGTAAATGCGGCGTCTGGAAAAATTTTGTTTACGTGGTTATATGAACAGATAGCAACGTATCGTGTCCTGTGGCTGAGAACCGTAAGCATTCTGTTTTTAATTATTACGATAACCGTAGTTGCACTGAGTTATACATCTAACAGTATAGGTATAGTCTCTCCTTATGGTACATTGTGACATGCAGGAATCACAAGCAAACTATCTCAGGTAGATTTGTTTTCACTTTGTGACTATGAATCGTGAATCAATTCATGTATTCCGCTAAGACGATAGATAACTCGAAACGCTTTATAATCGCAATACCTCCTCTACGATTTATGCATATTTACTTTATTTGACTACAACATAATCTCTTACCAATAGGCTTCTCTGAATATCTGCTCCTACTTAGTATTTCAAAGATAGCCTCATATACTCTATACCTCACAAATAACGCAAGCGCTAATATTCGGTCTTATCAAGTAGAATTAACCAACGAATAACGAGTAATACACTTATTAATGAATAGACATGTAATACAAAATCGACAACACTGCAGGTATCTTATTCTCTATCGCCCAAATCCATGAAATTCTCGAAAGTAGATATTATCTGAAAAAGAACATAAGAATTATAAAGATGCAGACATTGTCACCAGTGTAAACACATCAATTAACCATTAAACATGTTTAAAATGGCGAAATAATTAGTTGATTTGTATATAATTATATCATTCAACAATTTTCAAGAATACAAACCGATATTGCATCTGCCTGTAAACATCAATCTTAAGCCATAAAATAATCCTCAAATCTCTACGGAAACACGCCCATGTCATCGTATCGTAGAATATAGATGACCAACAAACACACAACATATCTAATCAACCAAGTGTAGAAACAGAGTAATTTACACCAAAGATAATAACATTCAAATAGTAATTTGAAACTAGAAATGCCTTTATTCGTGCACGTCAATTTAACAATTACTCTCTCGTTTACACTTGGCTTATCCTCAGCAAACTGACCATTGATATTCGTCCTTTCGAACGAACGTATACTAGCATAGTCATTGCACAAGATACTTGAGTTGATGGGCGTCTGTTTCATTGTGGATGACAGCACCAACGACGACTGATTGATATCAGTTGATGAACTTAGCAGTGGATCAAAAGCTGTTGTTGCTTGACTTTCAGAAATTTGTCTACCTGCAAGACTACCACCACTGCTGTCTATTACTATCAGCTCTGGTTTAGCACTAGCATCTGATGATAGGTGGGCTACATGCTGATCACTTACACTGACGGTCTCACAAGTATGCATGCCTTCTGCAACTGCATCTGCATTTATTTCTACTTCACGTTCAAGTTGTACAGAACCTTTGATCAACTGGTAGTAGTAGGCATATCCCTCATCTCATCATGAACAACCAAAGACAACTGTGAAGTATCATGATCATTATCACGAATATTCACTTTATCGTCAAGTTCATCATTTTCAAACTCTTTAACAGCAGAAGTAGACAATTTTGGTTCCTCCTCACAAATCCTAAAAGGATTTATAACTTCACTCTGACTAGTAATACCTTGTAAACTTGTAGGGTCAGAAATGGCATCTGAAGCAGCAACTCTATTCTGTGACACTCTATTCAACAATGGCTTACCAGTTGCAACTACAGACTTCTTGACCACACCGTTATCGTCACACAATTCGGAGTCAGGCCTGGAGTTTACATTTAGCTTATCACTGAACTTGCTCACTGGTTCACAGTTCACTTCTGTATGCACCTCTTGCAAACGTGTGAAACACAACCGTGTTTGTCTTGCATCTTGCAACTTATCTGTTGAGGATGTACTACGAATCCTGTTACACACACTAGGTCTATATGCATTACTAGTTATCATGGAGCCTTCTCGATATCCACCTCTCTGAGGCCTATTCGTCATCAATGATTGCATTTTGCTCTCAGACTGCTCTATTCTAGGGGTGAGATGTAATATACTGGCGAACTTGCTCATAGCTTGATTGACACTAACCTTTACTAGTTTCAGGATATCATCAAACTTTGGCTCGATACCCTCATCCTCCATACGGGAGCTTATCTTCACCCACTTCCTTTGCAGTCGAGTAGGTAGACGCCTTGCTATTACTTCTAGTATAAAACTCGAGTTGAGGTCACTCATGCAATTCATCGAAATCATTGCATTCTTGTAAATTAGCAAATTATCTAAAAACTCAGTGAGTGCCTGGGAGTCATCCTGTAATTGACCACCATTACCCTTAACAGCCTCGAATAATTTCCCTGCAATCATCGAAGGTCTTCCAAACCTTTGACGTAATATGCTCATAGCCTCATCGTAGCCCTCTTTCGGCTTCATAAACTTACAATACTGTATAGCTCTTGCAGCATCTCCAGTGCAATATCTCATCAAATACATTAACTTCATTTCATCAGTTAATAGAAAACTACTCAGCATGATCTCAAACTCCTTTACAAATTGTAAATAATCGGCCGGGTTTCCATCAAAACACCGTGGTTCAAATTTAGGGAGTTTGATGTACCTATCATCCCTGAACGGCGAAACAGTAACATCAACCATGTCATGCTTAACATCAGACACATCGTTACAATTAACAGACAAGTCACCATGACTTACTTTCCTGTTCGCTTCCAAAACGCTCTGCCCCTTCTTTGACCCAGGCATTGTTGAACTTGACCCAATTCCAAAACAGATCCAGATATTGCTTGTTGAAAGAGGATTTGTCCGGGATAAGGAAAGATGAACGGTGACTATCCAAATTTCACCAACTGTTTGAATCCGCGAGAATCTGTTTCTACCATCAGAAACTGTCAGCCACGTCTCATAAACCGTTAATGCCCAGCTCTTGCTACGCTCGGGCCCACGCTGTTCCTTGAAGTTTCTCAGAAACGCTTAGTTATAACGGACGAAAAAACCAAAACACCGATTGGCCACTCGAGAATTCTTTATTGTGACACCAACATATAAAAATAATAATTGAACTAAGGTCTGTGAACAAATATTACAATAATTAATCATAATATTGCTTCTGACGATGTTTTACTCTTCTTTCTAACAGCGACCGATGAGACGATGACTGTCGTATTGATGCCTCCGCGAAAATTGGGGAAGTTGGTTTTGAGCAAACAACCACGAACTGATCGTTCAATCTTCAACTCCATTGATAGGGTTGTTCGACCTCAACCAGAAGATAAATAGGAGAGTAGGCGCAGCGGCGGAATACCACAAATAAAAAGTATGTGAACAGTAAAAAACATTAATGTTATATGCGTATATAAATGTTTATGTCGATTGTATATTATACTATAGTAAACATTTACCTATATTGTAGCTGTGTCCTCACGTATTTATTCGAGTTTACTTAGTGTCATAACACATAATAATGAGTCTAAGCGTTTTAGTGTTCTAATGACTGATGCGTTTTAGAAATAAGTGGTGCTGCCTTGTTGAGATAGTCATCGGGATGAAACATTTTATATGGAAAGCTTTTGAAGGTTTACAATGGAGTGACAGGTCCTGTTTCTAGGGGTACACTGTTCCAGTATGTTCCGTACTAAGTCTTTAAATGCATTCATGCGACTAGTTTATTTATAGATTTTGGAGTGCTAAGGGTGTTGAAGTGCGACTGTTAGGTGCCGTAGTACATTAGTAGTTGATTCGTTCTAGTTTATTAATATAATCAGTAGAGTGAAACAGTCTGTATAGAGAGCGTTTGAAACTTAAAACCGAAGAGCAATTTCTGACGTTTAGGGGCAGGCTATTCCATATTTTGGAATACATGACTGTAAAGAAGTTTTCACGGAGTGTTGACTTAAAAGAGTGAGTTGTCACTGTGCAAGTTTGGTCACGCAAATCGTAGGAACCTTCCTGTGCGAATTGTATGTCCCTGTTACCTGAGAATGATATTTTGTGAAGGACCTTAAAGAAGAATATTAGGTTTATAATAAGTCGCCTTGTCCAAAGTGGGTCAAGTTTCAGGATCATGCAGCGTGAGATGTAGTCTTTCTTACAATCGTAGCCAAGTAGTTTTGAGGTAAAATATCGTTGGGTGCTTTCCATCCTTAGCCTGTCACGTGTGCGAGTGCTGCTTATAATGAATGAACAGTATTCTAGTAGTGGTCTGACACATGTTTTGTACAGAATTAGTCTGGCTTCATTGTCGTGAAAGTTCCTGAGTATGCATCTTAAGAGCATCCTCGACTTTCGAGTGTGTGATGTCACTTGCTCAGAGAATGCTAAGTCATTAGAGTACCTCAGACCTAAGTCAACGACACTTCGGAGTCTGGTTAGGTTAGCAGATTGAAGCGTTAATTTCAAGTCAATTGAGGGTGCTCCGAAGCAGATCCAGTCATATTTGTTCAGGTTAAGTTGTAGATTCCATTAAGACGACCAATAAATCACTTTATCTAATTCCTTCTGCACTGCATTCTCGAAGTACCCTAAGTCAACTCGTTGGAATGTGTAAGCTACTTTTAGGTCATCCGCAAAGATGGATGGTTTCCCGTGCGAGAAGCAAGCGCATATGTCATTGATGTATAGCGTAAATAGGAGGGGTCCAATGACACTACCTTGTGCTACACCAGAAGTGATAGGGCTAGGTTTGGAGGTTGCATATCCGAGTTTAACTACTTGGGACCTGTTGTTAGAGGATGATTTAAACCATCCTAATAATGGGTCATGTATTCATAAGGGGTTCAGCTTATTTGTTAGCAGTAAATGATCAACACCTTCAATTGACTTAGAAATGTCAAAGTAGATGAAAAGTACTAGTTGCCGTCTGTCACGACTGCTGGTTACAAGATTGAAGAAGTATAGGTGGCATGTTAAACATGATCAGCACTTCAGGAATCCTAGTTATTTTGGACTTATATCAATGTATTTGAAGATTGAACGATCAGTTCGTGGTTGTTTGCTCAAACCCAACTTCCCTATATTTTCGCGGAGGCATCAATACGCCAGTCATCGTCTCATCGGTCGTTGTTCAAAAAGAACGTAGAAAACCCGTCAGAAGTAATATCGTGATTTATTATTGTAATATTTGTTCATAAACCTTGGCTTATTATGTTGCTTATATGTTGGTGTTGGAATAAACAATTCTCAAGTCGACAATCTGTGTTCTGGTTTTGTGTACTTTCGTTGTAAAGGTTTCTGAGAAGCTTCGACGAACAGCGTGAGTCCCAGTGCAGCAAGAGCTGAGCATTAATGGTTTACGAGACGTGTCTGACAGTTTCTGACGGATTCGGATAGTTGGTGACAGTTTGGATAGTCACCGTTCATCTTTCCTTATCCCGGACAAATCCTCTTTCAACAAGCAATATCTAGATCTATTTTGGAATTGGGTCAAGTTCAACAATGCCTGGGTCAAAGAAGGGGCAGAGCGTTTTGGAAGCGAACAGGAAAGTAAGTCATGGTGACTTGTCTGTTAATTGTAACGATGTGTCTGATGTTAAGCATGACATGGTTGATGTTACTGTTTCGCCGTTCAGGGATAATAGGAACATCAAACTCCCCAAGTATGAACCTCGGTGTTTCGACGGAAACCCAGCTGACAATTTACAGTTTTTAAAGCAGTTTGTGATCACGTTGAGTAGTATTTATTAAATAATGAAATGAAGTTATTTCACTTGATGAGGTAATGCACTGGAGTTGCTTCAAGAGCTATACAGTATTGTAAGTTTATGAAGCCAAAAGAAGGGTACCAGGAGGCTAGGAGAAAATTAAGTCATAGGTTTGGAAGACCTTCAATGATTGTGAGGAAATTATCCGAGGATGTTAAGGGTAAAGGTGGTAAATCACAAAATGAATCCATGGCATGCTCTGAGTTTTTGGATAATCTGTTGTTATATGGGAATATGTTGGCGTTACAATAAAGAATTATCGAGTCGCCTATCAGTGTTTTGGTTTTGCGACCGTCATTACTAAGCGTTTCTGAGAAACTTCAAGGAACAGCGTGAGTCCCAGCGTAGGAAGAGCTGGGCATTGACGGTTTACGAGACGTGGCTGACAATCATGTTTTATATACTGAATTCGTATCATCTCTCATCTATCTGTTGATAATTGTGTTCGTGTCAAGAGATAATTTGCGAGGTTATGTATACTGTATGTATATATCTGTGGTGTCATATCAGTTGGTGTTTTTAGATTCACTGCGTTTACTCGTTGTTTTCATATCTTGTTGTTTTGCATAATTTTTCAAAATTTTCGTTGTGCCCACTTCTGAAGTTGTTTCGAGTCTTCTACATCCGTGAATGAATTGATTGATGTTAAAGACAGCAGATGGGTCGTATACGCAGGGGAGGCTATTGCTGAGAATGATATGCACACGGAGATAAGTATTAGCGGTGGAATCAATGATTGAGAATGAATGTTTCTATTTAGGCTGTGGTCACACACGTCGGGGAGCAAGAGTGTAGACGACTGAGGCTTGCATACGTCACCGTTCCTAGAACGTATTCTATCCCTATGCTCTGTAGTGTACCGTTGTGCACCGAATGCAAAAAAGTATAAAAAGACGGTATGAGGATAAATGTATTAAAACCAAATGTGGACATCATGATAGTACGAGATATACGTGTAGCATTATACATTGCAAATGAACGTTGTCAGCCTCGGGAGTTTCCTCTGTATATGCATTTATTATTGATACTTGCACTTACCTATTTCATTACAGTTTATTGATTCACTTTTACTTTTCTAAAACAGCTTTCAATCCGTTGTAAACGTTGTACTTACCTCAATATTGGTTGGTTATCGTATGCCCACAACCACGGGATGAAAACGAAACGAAGTCAACTTTCCCGCGCAACCTGGAGGACAACTGTACAATTCAATAACTATACGGTCTGGTTCGGACAATGAGTGTATTTATATATGTATATATATCAGATATTTACTAGTTGAAACATCATTAACTTGTA